CGTTTCCGTGCGTCTCGTTTCGCGTCTCGGGAGAGTCGCGCGGATATTCGCGTACGAGCGTCTCCACGCGAGGCCGTCTCACCGACGGCCACCAGAGGGGCGACCACCCGCGAAAAGGAACGTCGTCGCGTACGACGACCGGCGTTTACTCTCCGGCGCGTTAATACGCGCCGTCGGAAATCCCCGAGTGACAACGCGGTGCGGTGCGGTGCAACGATGCGGTGCCGCGCCGGGGGTCCGCGAAAAAAAAATCCGTCGGACGGACGAGAGGTGGCCGCCGTCGCTGTGCGCGACTACTTTTCCCGGACGCTGCGTCGCGCGCGTTCCTCTTCTCTCTCTATCTATCTATCTATCTTTCTCACTCTCTTTCTGTCCCTCCCCCCTTCTCCTCGTCTTCCTCCTCCTCCTCCACGTCGTCGTTCTCCCTCGTTCTTCGCCCGACGTCTCCGTTTAACCCGCTCCCGCGATCTCGTCCATTGCTCCGGGCCTCTCTTTCTCTCCCTCCCTCCCTCCCTCTCTGTCTCTCTCTGTTACCGAGCGCGAGACTCGCGGTAGACCGGAAATCGCGCGTACGGCCACACGGCCTGTCATCCTCGGCCGGCGGACTGATTACGTGTGCCGTCTCGTCGTCGTCAGCCGTCACTGTCGTCGGCCGTCTCGGTAGTCTCGTCGTCGTTGTTGAGCGCGCGAATCGGTTAGTGGTTCGGTCGTTTCGCGATACGTTACTGGCCCCCGGCGGTCTGGCACGGAGGAACGAGAGAAAGCCTCGTCGGGTGTGCGTGAGGGCAGTGATCTCTCTCGGAGAGCGGCGACCTGACGACGGTACGAGCGGAACCGACGGTGCCCGATAGAATATATATATATATATATATACATATATATTCACATTCACATATATATATATATATATACATGGATATATATGCGTTGCCGACGCTCTCTTCCCTTGGCCCTGCAACTGCCCCGCCGGACTCCGCTCGCGGATTTGCCCTGCAGATTTGGAGCGACGTGTGGTCCCGACTCCCGCCGTCCGTGGTCGAGACGGAACGTTCCCGAGGACGCGAGGTAAAGGAAATTCAGTCCATGCGAAGCCTAGCTAGCCCGGGGGTCGGGCGACGGCGATCCCGAGATCGAGAGACGGGAATCGCGAGAGGGTGCAATAAACGCCCGAGAGACTCTCGGGCTTCGATCTAAATCCCGTTTAAGCCCGCGATTTAAGCTGCCGATCTCGCTAATTTCACCTCCTCGACGGCGCGATTTCTCTGGCTTACGCTTAATTCGAATTAATCGTCCGCTTGCCGCGCGTTATCCGGAAAACCACTCTGCTCCGCCGAAGCGGAAAGGGTATATATGTTTGTTATCAATATCGGATAATCAGAAAGAGGCGCAATGTGCGAGCTTAATAATCTCGGAGATAAGAAAAGTATGTATACCGATATTACCGATAAGTAATTATTCAAGCCACGAGTCGCGGGATATCCCGTTATCTTAATTAATAATTAATAATACTGTTGATACGACAGTATAGGACACTGTCGTATGAATTCTGGTTTCAAGCCAAAGAAAAATTCCGAGTGGCAGTCTTGCATTGAAGTTAACCGGATCGTAAATCACGGATGATCGCACCGCCAATATTAGCCGATGCGATCTGTGCCTGTTGCCGACCTCCGCTTCGCCCCTCCGAACCCCAGTTCGCCCGTCGACGGTGACGAGCGAGTTGCAGCTCGCACCGCGTCAGCGTTAATCGGTAGTTCCCGAATTAATCTCTGCTTGCGCGCCTCTGCGCCGTGTCTCTGCATTCCGCGGGGTGGGGCATTCCCGGACGGTCGCGTCGTCGGGAAGAATATTGGTCAATCCGTTTCCCCAGTTTCTATTGTAAACAGTCCACGCGCGGGCATTTACATGCAATGGGGTCCCGACAATCGCGCTAATTGAGACGTGATATTTACTGCAGCCTCGCGTGGACATATGGACTCGTCCTGTTTCGTTTCAACCTCGGTCGACGAGTCCCTCGTTTAATTTCTCTTTTGTCATTTCGATCGTCGGTGCATGCTCGAATCCACGCGTGAATGTCTTTCGCCGCGTGGCGAAAGACATTTCTCATCGTCTGGGCGGAGTCTGCGAGCGGGGGACTTTTCCGGGAACTTTTGACGGGAAGACGAGCCCCCTTTTCCGAATCGAATCGCCGGCGTGGTGCATCAATGCACATCCGCGCCGCGCCGTCCGGTCTCTCCGGCTCGAGTCCTTTACCCTCGTTCAACACCCTTGCTCCGAGTCGCGCGCACTACGCTGCTCGAAGTCGCGGATGCTCGCCGGAAGAAACACAGCGCGCGGACATATCTGGAACCCCGACATCCGAACGGCCGACCCTTTCCCTCCGGTAGGTTTTTCATCGCCGGGCACACCACAGGGTCGGCCACCCATTGGTCGGAACCCAAATGAGAATTTTTCCGACCAGGCCGTTTGGCCCTGCCCCCTTCGAGCCGAGCGTTTCCTCTCCAAATGGCGGCACCGATGCACCGAAGGTGCCGTGAAACGCCCGCCGAAATGCGATGCAACGAGCATTTTTCGTTTTCGAACCCCTCCGGTTCACGTTTTTCCTCTCTTTCTCTCTCTCTCCCTTTCCCACGCGCGGGAACCACCCGAGGGTACAGCTGTGCCTTCGAAAGAAAATGTAACGAGTAACTTTGTGAGTGATTAACTTTATTTCGAAAGATAGAATACAATGCCTGGAATGGTTAAGAAATATTTATAAAAAAATATACTCTTGGAAATGTTGTAACATTATTAATTTATATTGCTTCATGTAATATGTATGTATTAGCATTATATGTTCCTTACAATATTATAAATTTATTTCTTGTAATATTATTTATTATAATATTCTTACAATGCTATATAATATTATATTATTTTTACAATCCTATATGATTTATATTTTTTATAAGTACTTTATTACAATACTTTATAATACAGATAGGTATGCTAAAGCGAAGATCCTCACCTGAAATTTGAAAAGAATGTAATTCTTACCCATCTTATTTTTGATGTTTAAAAAAAATGTGCTAAAGGTTCTTTATATAATACTATAAATTTATATTTTTTGTAAATTCTATTACAATACTTTATGATACAGATATATTAAAGCAAAGTTCTTTCATTTAAAATTTGAAAAGACTGTAATTCTTAGCTATCTTATTGTTGATATTTAACCCTTATCTGGCACTGTGGGGTATTAAACGCCCCAGGAGTGAAAACAATCATTTTTTCACTTTTTTTTACGTTCTCCAATTTTTTTCATACTTAATATTACATTTTATCAAAATAACCTGTGACATTTGTGAAAACAACATTCGAAGACTATCTTGGAATTTTTTTAAGTAAAAAAATTCCAAGATTCCTTTCAGCAAGCATTTTAGTGGTTGGGTCTGAAACGGCCCCAGTGTGCCAGCTATGTGATTCTGGTGAAGTGTGCCAGCCAAGGGTTAATTTGCTAAAGGTTCTTTATATAAATATACTATAAATTTATATTTCTTATAAGTATTCTATTATACATAACTTTATATTGTAATAGATATATTAAAGCGATGCTCTCTCACCTGAAATCTGAAAAAGGTGTAAATTATCTCACCTATCTGAGTCTTAATATATAATTTGCTAAAGATCCTTCATATAATATTACAAGTTTATATTTCTTATAAGTATTCTATTACAATATTTTATGATACTTTATGAAGTCCCCTCACCTGAAATCTGAAAACTGAAAACGATGTAATCCTTACCCCCATCTGACTCCTAATGTTTAATTTGCTAAAGATCCTTTATTATCCCATTCATAACTTGGAAATTATCGGCGTCTCATTTTCCAAAGAGGGATTCGTCAACAATCCGTCTCGCCAAAGAGTTATCCCAGTCTCCTGGAGTTTCCGACAACACTGCAACGCTTTAGAGGACGGATTACGATCTTTTCATATTCGCCCGAGAATGAAACGCTTCTCGCCACTTCATCGACGCGGTTCTTTCAGGGGACCCCGCGTTACCGTACGCTGAAGCCGATCGATTACGATCTTTTCATATCGCTCGAGAATGACGTCTCTCGTTACCTCACCTCGTCGGCGCGGCGCGGCCGGAATCCAAGGCGCGAAAGCCCATTCTCCGTCTATGGGCTGTCTAGCCGAGGACGAGACAGACGGGGACGCACGGTTACCCTGTGTCCCCGCGTGTCCCGCGGTGCGATCCTTTCCGCA